AATTGTTCTCCCACAACTAAGAATACATGGAGAGTCTGAGATGTTAGAGGTAAATAATGTAGTTGGCCTATGAGCCCATGAGACACAGAGAGGTTTCTGAGGGCAGCATCATTCTCCTGTATGGAACTCAGCCTTCTAAACAATAGCTTGGCCCAATAATGCTATACCCTTCAACAAGGATCTGTCCTCAGGCTTGGTTATGCTTGAATGAGAACCTGTCACTTTGTCATTTGAGGAGAATAGGATAGCCAAGTAGACTTTTGAGTTAGGTAGTCCTCTATTCAAATCTTGGCTCTTCTGCTTACTGACTGCATGTTGATGGGAGCCAAGTCTCTGTTCCCATGTTTGTAAAGAGGTGTTAATATACATCAGACACAGTATTCATTTTTTAGAATAAAATTAAAACAAATACCTAAGTAAAAAGCCAAACATGTAGTAAGTATTCAATAAATAATCATTCCTTAAAATTTTTTTATGAGGAAGCTGAAAGGGGACAGCACTCCAGGTAAGGTGACACAGGGAAGAGAGGATCATCCTTGGAAAGGCTGAGGTAACTGCTGAGAAGTGAAGAAAGGAGACACACATACATCTATTGTGAAGAAATGGAGGTGGTAATAGCTGTCACATAAAGAAGGGAAAAAAATAAAAACTACAGGGCATGGGATATTTTTTTACAAAAGTAGGAGGAGGTATATTTATCTCCTAAGGTTAATGGAGTGTCCTCTCAGCCTCTTCCCCAATCCCTGAATTGTACAACATCTTCCTTGATTACATCTCAATGTTGCTTTCCCCATCTAATTGAGACCTTAAAGAGAAGACTCTTGGATCTCTGTTTCCTTCTAGCAAATCTCTACTCAGCACTGTGCAATCCATTCTACCTGAATTCACCAAAGCCTCCTAAACAGGAAATCAGAAGGCTTTTTCAGGTCATGTTTCTGGTCTTCTCTGCTTGGACAGAGTTGATAACGAATTCATTTCTTTCCAGAGCTGTTTTCTCTTCTCTCTTCCACGTGCCACCCCTTCCTGGTTCTCCTCACACCGTACTGACTTGGTGATCTGACTTTTTGGTGTGTGCTCCTCTTTCTCTCCTAACTCTTCAAAGGTGAGGCTTTCCACTTACAGTCTCTCTCCTTCTCTTCTCAGACACCCTCCTCCAGATTCCACTATCACATATAGGCTGAGGATTCCCCAGTTACAGTTTCCAGTGAAGACTCAACCTCTGAGGCTCAGACTCATGTATTTAGCTGTGCTGTGTCCTCCTGGGGTGGGTCAGTACACACCTCAACTTCAGGATTCTCAAAGTTAAACTCAGCATATTCCTACCTAAAATTGTTTTTTTCATCTATTCTTAAGCTCAATCACTGTGATATTACCATTCACTCAGGCGCCCAAGCTTTCTTTCATGTCCTTTCCTAACTATCAAGATTTAAAGATTTGATCGCCTAAATATTTCTCGACTCTGCCTTCTACCCTGAATACTGTCACCACTAACTCTCTTGCTTTTGTTACCTTTCGCTTGGACTGTGGTAGTAACCTCCTACCTGATGACTCTGCTTCTGGTACTGTTTCCTGATGCATGGCCTCCCAAAGTGGCCACAGTGTTCTAAAGCAACAAAATAGACCCTGAACTCTTCAACTTAAAAATCTTTAATGGTTCGTCTTCCCCTGTAAGTTCAGATGATAAAGTCCAAGCTGCCTTGGCATGCCCTGCTCTGAACTTTGTGTGAGCAACACTTAGCTGCTTTAGAGTAAGTAAAGACCGTTGTAGTGTTCTTCCACCTCCACGACTGCTTATCCTAGCCTTTCTGTTTGTATTCACTTTTATCTGGTAACCTCCCTTTCATCTTTTACCACCAGCTCAGTCACCATCTCTTCTAAAAGGCTTTCCTGACTCTTCTTTCTCACTCCCTACCCCACTGTGGGGAGGCATCCCTCTTCTGGTACCTGCAGCTTTCTGTTTACCCTTTCCTTCAATGCATGAGATAGCAAGGCTATTTGTTGTGTTTGTATCCCACAATAGATCATGAACACCCCAAAACTGGGAATGGCTACTTTATATTTGTTTCCACTGACTATAGCATATTATTACACATTATCACCTGGTATACCTACAACTGTTGGAGGAAGGTTGAAAAGGTTTGGAGAGCCATTGAGGTGGATGAGACACTCAACAATAGTTGAACCAAGGAGAGAATGACATGTACTCAGGGCCCAATTTGTTACATAAAGTTGTAGTGAGGCCCTTAGGCCTTTTTTGTGACTATTACCAAAAGATTATTTTCAGTCTCATGTAGAAACATGGAAGGTGAACATAACCTAGAGAGGGTGATCATCCAAAGAGGAGGATAGATTCTAGGGTGACAAGAGACCAGCTACAAAGACAACTGAAGCCAGACAGAGGTGATGAGTACAGAGAAGAGGGCAGAGCTGAGGGGGATGATGAGGACAATGAGAAAGGAGAAGGCTAGGTGCACTGAAGGAGATGATGAGAGAAGGGCAGGGAAGTTGGGTGTGTGTGTGTGTGTCTGTGTGTGTGTGTGTCTGTGTGTGTGTGTGTGTAAGACAGGGAGAGAAAGAATTTAAAAACTGAGAGAAGGGGTGGGCACAGAGGCTTACACTTGCAGTCCCAGCACTTTGGGAGGCTGAGGTGGGTGGATCACCTGAGGTTAGAAGTTCAAGATCAGCCTGGCCAACATGGCAAAACCCTGGCTCTACTGAAAATACAAAAATTAGCGAGGCATGGTGGCATGCACCTGTAGTCTCAGCTACTCGGGAGGCTGAAGCAGAATTGCTGGAACCCGGGAAGCAGATGTTGCAGTGAGCCGAGATTGCACCACTGCACTCCAGCCTGGGCGACAGAGTGAAACTGTCAATAAATAAATAAACAAACAAAAATTTCAAAAAGCTGAGAGAAGGCTCAGCTCAGAATCCAAAACAGAGTGATGCCAGTGAGTAGAAGTTCAAGCTGCTGGAAAATCATCTTCAGATTCATTTTCTGACAAAATTAAATATCATTCTGTTGTGTAATAAATATGTTATTGTGATTAAAAACCTGTCTGCCAGTTGGTGAAATCTTTTGGCATTTTGCATCATATTCTACAGTCAGAGAATCATGTAAATTGCAGAAGTAATGACAGGATACCTTTGGGGTATAATTCTTCTCTCTATTTATAGAAGCAGAGAATTCCAGTCTCATGCTCTGTTACATAATTTGAATTTTATCCAGCCTTCATTTTGAAATAATTTTTCCAAAAGCATGAAAAATAAAAATCCCTCTAGCCCCTCTTTCCTGCAAACAGTTTACTCAACTATTATTTTAGCATCTGCAGAACACTTACCACAGATGAAGCAAGTTGTCTTTAGAATTTCTTCTTTTTTCTGTTTTTCACTTCTGAGATCAGCAAAAGTGTCGATGATAACACCAAAAATCAAGTTCAGAACGATAATGATAACAATGAAATAAAAAAGAAGGTCATAAACCACTCGGGCAGCAAACAAGGGTTCCTGAAATAAAAATTTTAAAATATATGTGTGTGTGTATATATATATATGTGTGTGTATATATATATATGTGTGTGTGTGTATACACACACACACACACACACACATATACTTTCAAGCCATATTGATTGAGCACACTGTCTAGCATAGAGAGTACACTCAATAAATGTTTGTGAAATGAATATAAATAGTATCCCAAGTTGGAAAAATAAGGTTCACTTTCAATCTATAAGTGTTGTAAGAAAAAATCCCTAGCCTATTTCCAGAACCACTTACATTTCTCTAGGACTAACACACATCTTTCAGGCAGTGGTGGGACTCACTTTCTTTAGAAGAGACTTTATTATGCCATTCTGCTAAATGCATTTTGGCACAGTGGTCTCCTATTTCAGACATTACAGAAAAGGTAGTTAAATGCCAATTCCAAAGGTCAGTGATAAGGGAACTACGGAGGACCTAATGATTTATCAATTTCTGGAGTAGGCTTTATTCCTGGCCATTCAGGGTCAAGTATATACAGCTTCTTCTTATTTCTACCTGATGAGCCGTATTAAAATGCAAATTAGAGGCCATGCAATCCAGTTTTTTAACACAAGAGGAACCTGAGGTTAAGAGGTTAGATGACTTGATAATATGATACAATTGGCCTGAGCAGAGCTAAGATTCTTCAAGCTCCTGGCCTGGCACTTGAGATTTTGCAGTTATTGATAAATGTTTCCACTTTACCATTTTAATATGTGAAATCCTGTTAGAATTTGCTCAAATGTTATATTCATCACGGATAAATGATGGAGACTATTCCTATGCGGAAGAAAAGAATAAATCATCATGCCTGAGAAAACTGATAGGCAAGAGGCAACCTCGCTTCTGTTATTTATGTAACAATCAACTCCTATATAAAGTTCGCAGTCATGATTTCATTGCTGTAATACAATACACAGGTTAACTTGGAAACATTTCACCACTCTACTAACACACAAAGACTCGCAGTACATTAACTGTTTCTATGTAATCCTAGCGTACAATTAATTGGCTTTAACAGCCACAGTTATACTCTTAAAGTAAATGGTAAAATATATTATCCTGAAAACCAAAATCAAATTATAAATACTGTGAAGAAAGGTTTTAAAAAAAGATGTGCTTCTTGAAAAAATACTTTTACTTTGGCTTACATCTTTCGACGGCCTTCTTAGCACATCCCCCACGCCGCCGCCATTCCTGAGGCCCTGGTTCAACACAGTGACAATGCACATAAGAAGAGTGTCACATGTCCTTTCAATTCCATCTTCATACTCTTCATCAGCTATAAAAACACATAAAAATATACAATATAAAATTCTGTAAAAATATAGAAAATAAAATACACATAAAACGAAATATACATAAGTACACATACATATATATGTATCTATATTTATAGATACATATACATAAATATACAAAAAATAAATATACATAAAAGATATATACAAATATATAAAAATATAATATTAAAAACAGTGTAGCAAACTCACATTTAAAAAAATATACCATTATCTATTTCCAAAGGGCTATTTCTAATTGTGCCATGACACAACTTTTGGAAGTCACACATCCTCTGTTCCATATGTGGCAGCACATGACTGACACAAAATGATGAAACCACATATATAATGTTCTCCCATATTTTTGTTCTTCTATAGGTGAAAAAATAGCAGGACGAAAAGCACAAAACATAAGGCTCACATTCATTGTGCTTGTTATGGTGGAAAGAGATTGTGGTGAAAACTGGAAACACAGCCATGTCCCCCAGGAGGCAAAAGTACTGTAGGGGAAAGAGAATGAACAAGGAAGATTGCCTGGCTTCCAATTCTGCTCTGTTTCCATACTGGGACTTGGGCAAGTTCCTGAACCTCAGGATCCTCATCTGTAAAATAGGGAGGGCTGTCTGGGGATTACACTCTTCAAAGGGTTGTTTAAGAATTACATTTAGGGATCCAGGGGTGGTGGTTCATGCCTGTAATCCCAGCATGTTGGGAGGTTGAGACAGGCGGATCATAGGAGTTTGAGACCAGCCTGGCCAACATGGAGAAACCCCATCTCTACTAAAAATATAAAAATTAGCTAGGCATGGTGGTGGACGCCTGTAATCCCTGCTACTAGGGAGGCTGAGTCAGGAGAATCACTTGAACCTGGGAGGTGGAGGTTGCAATGAGCCAAGATCATGCCACTGCACTCCAGCCTGGGCAACAGAGCAAGACTCAATCTCAAAAAAAAAAAAAAGAAAAATACACTTAGGGTATGTAAAATATTATACTTAGCACAGGGATTGGCACACAAACAATAGTTGCTTAAGAATTGGGGCAGATATTATTTCATTATTGCAGTTAAGTATCTAAGCTTTTTTGAGGACCAACCTGGAGCTCCTGATAAGCACAACATATTTATGTGAAAAACTCTATTTAGGGATAAAGGGGGAAAGAGAAAAAGATACAATGTGACAGAAAAAATCACTATTCTTATTTTGTTTAGAATTATTGGAATCTAACTTGAAACATAATTTCTTAGTCACTTAGAATTGTGAAAAAATCATACTAAGTTAAATATTAGAATCAGAAATCCCTAACATTGGCAAATAACCAGAAATGCATTTTTCTCACTACAAGGTTAAAGAATCACAGGGGTGTAAATTTTGGGATTGTGTAGCCACAGTATGCATGTCAAGGCATGAGCATAAAAACAACAAAAATTCAGTCCAACTTTATCTACATGCTTCATATCAACAGCGCCTTTGGTACTGTGTTATGAAAAGGCTAATTTTCCTTGTCTGAGCTGACTTTATTTTAAAATCCTACAGATAGGGGATCCTGATATTTTTACTTTCTTTGGAGTGGCTTCCTTCTAAAACATGCTGGGATACACCTTGAGAGGAGAGCCGAAGTCAGAGATGAAGGGGAGAGTGCAAAATGCAGCAGCAGAGACATCGGCAGAATCTGTGCTTGGTTATTTACCTTACTGGTTATTTAGCGCTGAGTCCAAGGCACATTCTGATATAAAAAGGAGGAGAACTAGAACTCCTTTTGGAGGAGGAAGAAATGGGGAAGAGGTAGGGCCTGTGGTGAGAGCAATCAGAGCAGCAGTGCAGACAAGGAAGCCAGACCAAGGGTAGGGGGAGCTCAGTCTGGAATGCACTAGTGAGGTCCCCACACACATAGCAGTAGACGCCAACATGATGGCTGACAAGAATATAAGGACAAAGAGTCAGAAATGCATAAGAGAGCAAAGGGAGCTTTTAAGGAGAAAATCATTTTCTAATAACCAAATCAGGCGGAATATGTCTACAGGCTACTTTGCCACAGCTGGACTTTCCATCACTACCATCCATCTAGTGTCATGAACTGCTTTTATTTATTCATTCAGAAACTACCTGGTCATGTCACAACAAGTGTTTGCTAAAGGCTTACTAAGTGCCAGATTAATCGGCACATAAAAGCTACAGGAGAGAGCTCCTACCTCTCTCCAAGAATTTGGAAATAAGGTGGTTCTCTAAGAAGTGAGCTTAGTAAAATCCGTACACAATTCATGTGATTAACCACTGTGAAATAAAATGAATTGGCTGAAAATCTATAATGAGAGAATTGGTTTTCTGTGTGGCATGTAAATGGGAGGAGAACACCCCAGTCAGGCCAGTGCCAGCAATCATCCTGCCCAAAATAATCAGTATACAGGCATGCTGATTTTACAGAGAAGCGTCTATGCCCTCAGTTAATAAGGTTCTACCTTCATGAGATGCAGCCACTCTCAATATGATGAGCCAAGTTCCCAGGCATCCAGCCTCAAAGTCAGGCTCTGAGTCATGGTAATTCACCTAGTAAATGCCACCTTGTGGTTACCTCTGTAATCAACTGGCCTTACCCATACCATATCTGCCTCCTTTCAATACACCAACAGCTGCTGGACAAGGTGCTAGGAAAATTGGGGAGAAAGATGGAAGTGTCCCGTCTGTAGAAAATTTATGGTCCCTAGGAAGGGTGGGTCAGCAGCTGAACAAAGGCAGTGCAGTATCACAGGATGCTGTGGAGGCATAACAGATGCACGTCTCACACAGGGCAGGTATTGGTATCCTGAAGGGGGTATCACCTGAGTTGGATTTTCAAAGAGGGTCATGATTGGCCAGTAAAATCAATGACGGAAGACATTCCAGGCAGCTAATATGGGATGAGCAAAGACAAACAGGCAAAAAAATATGTGGGGTGTTTTGGAAAGCTTAGGGAAGATGGGAATGACTGGGCCTTTGGTAAATGCAGAAGGGTGTGGGAGGTGTGTGAAGAAGAGACACAGTAGGGCACCAGGTCATGATGAGACTCATATATCAAGCTGAAGAATTTAAACTTAATCCTGAAATTAGGGGGCGGCACTGGAAGACTTTCAACAGGGTAAGGTCGCTTTCCAGCTAGTTGGTGAAATAGTACAAGATAAAACATGTACAAGACACATTAGCATGCGATAAAAGACACAGAAGTGGAAGCCAGGCACAGTGGTACATGTGTGTAGGCCCAGCTACTCAGGAGGCTGAAGTGGGAGGGTCACTTGAGCCCAAAAGTTTGAGGCTGCAGTGAGTTATAATCACACCAGTGCACTCCAGCTTGTGTGACGGAGAGACTCTGTCTCTAAAAAACCAAGCAAACAAACAAAAATGCAGAAGTAGCAGTGATGCAAAGATATAGAAATAGGGAGAGAAACTGTACACTGAGAATTAGAGGGGAGTTCCTCTAATTAATGTAGACTCTAAATTAAGTAGTAGAATCGAGTTTGCCTTGAGTAGTCAATGTACTAAGACTTGACCATAAAGGCATTTTACATGCAATGGACAGAAAGCCCCAGAGGTAGAAAAATATATGCTTGTATGATGAACACCAAATAAACCAGTAAATATGGATGAGAGGAGTCAAAGACGAAGCAGGAGCAATAAACTGGGAGCTCTCTGTGAAGCTGTAGGGAGTTTGGATTTTATTGGGCAAGTAATGGAGCATCATGGAAAGCCTAAGTTAGGGGTAGGGGAGGAAATATTCAAGGCAGCGATTTCTGACAAGTAGTCTAATGGTGATATACTGGATGAATTGAAGAGGAAAGAATGACTGGAGGTGGAAAGACCACTTAGGAGTCCGTTGCAATAATTCAGGCATGATGTGCTATAAGCCTCAACCAAGGTAATGGCAGAGAAGAGGCAAAGGATGAATGAAAGGAAGTTGACAGGGCTGTAGGCAGGAGGGAGAAGGCAGCACTAAATACCACTCTGAGGCCTCCCAGCCATGGATGACTTAGGAAAAGGATGGCCCCACTAGACCATAGAAATAGACCATTAAGAAGGAAGAACTGGATGTAGGGTGTTTTGATGAAGCCAAAGAAAGCATCTCGATGATTTGTATGTTTATAAGATGAGAAGACTAGAAAACATTTTTAAAAGTCAGAGAGGACAAGAGAGTTCAGAGGATACTGTGATCCAAATTAAGAAAGACAACAATTTTAAAGATGTCAAAATTGCAGAATAGTCAAAGGCAAAGAGAAGCAAAAAAGTCACTGGATTAAACAATGGGATCATCAGGAAACAGTAGGAAGAAGGCAAATAGCAGAGAAAAAGCAGTGTAGAAATTAAAGGAGAGGGTCGGTCAATTGTTTTAGAGAGAAATTTGGTCCTGAACGAAGGAGACTGCTAGCATACGAGTTTCGGGGAAAAAGAGAACCCAGAGGAAAGTTGACTGAGGACCCAAAATGTGTGTAGGAAGGGCGAGAGAGAACAGGTGGTGACAAGGAAAATATTTCAGACGTAAGAACAATGGTCCAGCTGATGATGGTCAGGAAGTAATGATAAATATCGGGCTAGTTATAAAAGAAGGGAGAGGCCCGGGCACAGTAGCTCATGCCTGTAATCCCAGCACTCTGGGAGGCCAAGGCGGACAGATCACCTGAGGTCAGGAGTTAGAGATACTGGCCAACATGGTGAAACCTCATCTCTATTAAAAATACAAAAATTAGCTGGGCGTGGTGGCTCAATCCTGTAATCTCAGCTACTCAGAAGGCTGAGGTAGGATAATCACCTGAACCCGGGAGGTGGAGGCTGCAGTAAGCCAAGATTGTGCCATTGCACTCCAGCCTGGGCAACAAGATGGAAACTCCGTCTCACAAAGAAAAAAAAAAAAAGAAGGTCAAGAGCATGTGGCTTACAAACAAAAGGAAAGAATTAGTGAAAATAGACTTTTAATGTGGAGACATTTAAAAGAACTAAATATATACCTATGAAGAACTTAGAACAGTGCTTGGAGT